ACTGGCTCAACCTCGAGGGTGGATGGTCTTGCCAGTCAGGGTCTTCACGAGAGATCTGCATCCCACCTCTGAGACGGAGCACCAGGTGCAGTGGACTCCTTTCTGGAGGTGCAGGGTGGACTCTTTCTGGATGTTGTAGTCAGACAGGGTGCGCCCATCTTCCAGCTGCTTTCCGGCAAAGATCAGCCTCTGCTGGTCGGGAGGAATGCCTTCCTTATCTTGGATCTTTGCCTTGACATTCTCGATGGTGTCACTGGGCTCAACCTCAAGGGTGATGGTCTTGCCAGTGAGGGTCTTCACGAAGATCTGCATTGTCTAACAAAAGGGCCAAAAACCACCAGGATTTAGCAGACAATGTATTAATCTTCCTAATACTTAAACTGTATGTTATATTCACCCAAATGATTACAATTTAAAAGGTACCTAAGAAACTTCACAAAATACACTCGCCAACCCCGAACGCATAGTTTAAAACCCAGACTTCAGCTACTTAAGAAAACAGGTACATAGAACTGACCAAAGAAACTGACGCCTCACTTATCCCTCCCCTCACCAGAGGTCAGGCCCCTCTCGACTGAGGAGGGCCTACCCTAGGCCCCAACCCTGCGTCCTGCGACGAAGAAAAGCCTACTGCACACCTACCGGCAGGTGGCCCCACCCTACATTATGAGCCAACAGAACGGATGACGTCACGACACTGCGAGGGCGCGCGCTCCTCAAGCTACGGGTGCACTGGGAAGCGGCACCGCCATTAACTGCCGCCCCCGCAACAGACGACAAAGCGAGTTCTCCGGTCAGTGACAGACTTCACGTCAAGGTCCCCAAATGGTGCCCCAGCCCACCTCACCAGAATAAGAGCGTTCCCGCATTAGCGAAAACCTCAAGGCCTTAGGTTCTTGCCGCAAACCATGCCCCCCACCTTGTTTCAACAACCTCACAGCCCGCCTCACAAGCGTCTTCCATACAACACTCGGGAACAGCCGCCATTTTGCTGCGCTCCCCTCCCACCCGCTGCTCAGGGGCACCTTGCTCGCGGACCCAGACTACAGCCCTCGGCGGTCTCTCGACCCGCGGCGTCGGCCCCCCTCCATCCCACCGAGCGGCCCAGCGGCCACGAAAGCCCTGGCCAGCCCAGCAGCCCTCTGCTCACCAAGTGGCGATGACACCGACACACGAACAAGAACCGCGATCCCACTCCCGGCTGCGACGGAACTAGCTGCGCCACACCCGGCGCGTCCTTATATAGTCATCGGCGTTCACCGCCCCCAAGAAATTCCTCCGCAGAACCGCCGAGAAGGGACTACTTTTGCTCGCCCGTTCCGGTCTCTGGAAAGAAAACCAGTGCCCTAGAGTCACCCAAGTCCCGTCCCAAAATGTCCTCCTGCTGAGACTGGGGTTCTGGGACCGAGTCTGGTGGGCAGCGGACCGCCGTCCTGAGCGTCCAAGCGGAAGAATCAGGGCGCTCGCTGCGCCCCGCGGCCATGACGTGGAGGCGCTCGCCGAGAGGAGGGGGGCGTCCGCGGGAGGCGCCAAAACCCGGCGCGGACTCCGTGGCGCCAGGAGCTGGTGGGCGGCCCGCGTTCCTCAGCCGTGGCCCCGCGGCCCCTCCCCTCAGCCCCCGCGGTCCCCTCGGGTCGCGAACCCCGCGTTCGGCGGACGTGGGGCACGGACCGAGCGCCTCCCGCAGAGTCGGGGTTTCCTTCCCCTCCCTCACGACCCGCCCTGGCCCACCCCGCGAGACGGACGGGTCTTTATTTTTGGGTCACATTTGAGATAATGACGGGGCTTTCTTTGCTCAGCCCCCCTCAGTCTTCCTGAGCTTCCCAGCCCGGTCGCGGGGGCTCCCCGGTGCCGCGCCCCTCCCCCGCTGCGGGCCGCGGGACAAGGACAATGACTCAGCAGATCTCAGGCCGGGCGCGGCCCTAAAGCTGGGGAACGCTCGAGAACTTTCGAGGGGAGACACTGCAGAGGAGCGGGTGTCTAGGTTAAATTTGGAAAAGAGAGGCGGAAACCCCACACAGTTTTTTTTTTTTAGCTGGAACCCAAGGCTGAGGGAACGACATCCTTCTAGACTGTTCTTTCACCTTCGTGTACATTCTGAGGGCCGGGTATGGAAAGGTCCTACTTGGTTTCAACAGGGAGGCCCAGAAATTTCTCTGGTTTCAATGGGTACGATTATTGTAATCAGGATCCATTCAATAATCGGACCCATTTAAACCGAAGGTTTTAAAAGACAGGAATAGAATCCCAGCCCTATTTCAGGGCAGGGTAGGGTGTCAAATATGAAATGTAAGTCTACAGGGCAATTCTATTTTGATAAAAGAAGTGGGGAGAAAAGAATCACCAGCCAGGTTTTTAAATTTTTACCACAACCTGTTTTGTGATCCTTATGTGTCATTTCTTCAGTATATTTTTAAAATGTTTTAACAAATACGAACATGGTGAGATTTTTTAAATGTGTCTTTTTAAAGTGTACAGTGAAAAGTCTCCCTCATGCCTTCAATTTCCCAGTCACTGTTCCTTCTGGAGTCTTCTAGAAATAGTCCCTGTTTCTACAAATGTATTGGAGGTAGGGAGACTATTTTGATTTCTACCCTTGAAAGCTTCAAAAAGAGAGAAAAAGAGGCTAGCAACTGAAAAATATTTTGCCATTAGGAAAAGACTACATTCTTGTTTTAAGTTATGAACATTACATTATTTAAATGGCACACTTAAAATATGCATCAAAGCAAAATGAACCTGCTACATATTCTCTATGGTAACCCATGTTTGTGTGTATTTATGAAAATCCAAGATCTGTGCAATGTTCAAAACAGACTTTTACATCTCTAATTTTTAACAATTTTAAGAGAATGAATTCATGTGTTAGTGGGAAATTAAAAGGAATAATAAGTGTCATCTTCCAGGATTGGCAGGAAACCCCAGTGAGTTCCAATACACATTTCTGCAAAGTTTTTGTTTTTTGTTTCTCCCCTAGATTTCGGGAAGGAGTTTTGAAAGGAATAAAAAGCTGAGATTCTTTGTCAGGTGACGAGGCCTGGCTTTCAACCACGCCCTGGTTGCTTTTGGCTGTTGCTCTGCTGCAAGCCTTGTGATTCATGTTGTTTAAAGGCTGAGTCACCAGCTTTGTGACATAGCTTTTTTCAGAGTCCAAAAGGTACAGAGAAAAAACAGCCCTGACTGCAGAGGGATGGGAGGGAGAGGAGGACAGGAGGAGGAAAAAGGAAGAAGAGGGGATAAGGGTAGGGTGGGTAATGGGCCAAAGGTGAGCTACAAAGAGAAACCAGTGTTGTCTCTAGCAGAAAAAAATTATTGAAAACACCCCAGCATTCCCTGACTTAAATGGTTATTGAAGCAAACAGAAATAAACCTTTCTCCAAGGTCACTGAGGTGACAGAGAAAGGAAAAGAAAATGGCCTCCCAAAACACAGGTGTCTGATGCTTGTCTAGAACAATCATTCTCAACACGGAGTGATTTGCCCTTCAGGGGGACATTTGGCAATATCTGGAGATATTCTTGGTTGTCACAACTCAGGGAGGTTAGGGGGTGCTACTACTAATACTAGCACTCTTGGTAGACACCAGGGATGCCGCTGAACATTCTATGAGAAACAGTCTCCCACAATAATCCCACCCAAAATGTTAATAGTGCTGAAATTGAGAAACCGTGTCCTACAAAGGACTTTTGTTGTTGCAACGACGGCTTTTCTATTTTCCGAAAGGGTTCCCAAAGTCTAAATGTCCCACTTGGACTCAGGAGTCAGGTATCAAGTCACGCTCTTAAAACCTAAACCCTGCTGACCTAGAATGCGATGTGCTAGAATGTGCGAGAGTCAGGATGAGTCACTAAATCCGTTTTCAGTTCGTTCCACCCACAGATCCGTCCTTTGCAGGCGCCCCAGAAAAGATTGCTTCAGAGCTGGCACCAATGGAGAAGGGACAGAGGCCCAGCAACAGGGCGGGATTGGCAGGCGGAAGGGAGCATGTGATGGGCTGAGCTCACAAAGGGCCCGGGTGCTGGGCTGCAGCTGGGCGGTGCGGGGGTGGATCAGTGCCTGCTCTTCCGCCTTCCTTTCTCCCCTCCCCCTAAGGATTCAGTTCCCCCTTCTGAAAGTCACCACCTTGTATGTGATTTAATCCAGCCCCATGAAACTATCTGAGAGCATGAGTGAGGGTCAACAAACTTGTTTCCCCCAAGAAAAAGGGTGGAGTCAGAGAGGTGGTGGGAAGGGTTTGCCTTGCTTTGTCATCGCTTATATAACCAGAAAAGGTTGTCAAGGACGCCTGCAGGTTAAGGCCTGGCAAACAGGAAGAAAAAAAAAGCCTTAGGGAATATGTTCTTCCTGTTTCTACTTGTGTTGTATAACTGTGTGGTGGAACACAAACTGCTCCAGCTTAAAAATAACCCATTCATCTCAGCAGTCAAAACCGGACCTAAGAGCTAGTCTCTAAATTTGCCTAGTTTAGGAACATTAGGAAGTTATTTAACCTATTTGGGCTTTGTTTTTGTCGTCGTTTGGTTTTGTCTTAAAATTGCAAAATACACATAAAATTTACCATTCTTAAGTGTACATTTTTTGTAGCATGAAGTACATTCAGTGTTGTGCGTCAGCCGTCACCACCATCCATTTCTGGAACGCTTTTCATCTTGCAAAACAAACTCTGTCCCCATGAAAAACTAACTCCCCATTTCTCCTCCCACCAGCCCCTGGCATCCGCCATTCTACTTTGTGTCTCTATGAATTTGACTACTCATGTGACCTCATATAATAAGCTTTAAGTGTAAAATAAAATTTAATAGTTGAAAAAGCACTTTTTTCAAAGAGTATTTCTAGGAAGCTCCAGTTCCTAACACTAGCCTTTAACAATAACAACTCCTTGAGGTATTTTTTTTCCTTGTCATGCACTAGCAGAAATATTTGGCTTTGTTTCTTTGTTTTTTGAAACAGTATCTCGCTCTGTCCTGCAGTGGTATGATCACGGCTCACTCTGCAGCCTGGACATTCAGGCTCAGGTGATCCTCCCACCTCAGCCTCCTGGGTAGGGAGGACTACAGGTATGTGCCACCACACCTAGTTTTTTTTTTTTTATTTTTTTTTTTTTTGTAGAGAGCAGGGTTTTGCACTTTGGGAGTCTGAGGTAGGTGGATACCTGAGGTCAGGAGTTGGAGACCAACCTGGCCAACGTGCTGAAACTCCATCTCTACTAAAAATACAAACATGATCAGGCACGGTAGCTCACGCCTGTAGTCCCAGCTACTCTAGAGGCTGAGGCAGGAGAATCACTTGAGCCCTAGAGGCAGAGGTTGCAGTGAGTCGAGATCGTGTGCCACTGCACTCCAGCCTGGGTGACAGAGTGAGACTCTGTCTCCAAAAAATAAAATAAGAGATGGGGGTTTTACCATGTTGCCCAGGCTGGTCTTGAACTCCTGGGCTCAAGTGATCCTCCTGCCCTGGCCTCCCACAGGGCTGGGAATACAGACGTGAGCCAATGTGCTTGGCTGAAATATTTAATTATAAGGTACAAAGTAATGTCATATAAGTGGGGGTCATAGTAAGAAATAAAAAATAAAAATAAAAAAAATTGGGCCGGGCGCGGTGGCTCAAGCCTGTAATCCCAGCACTTTGGGAGGCCGAGACGGGCGGATCACAAGGTCAGGAGATCGAGACCATCCTGGCGAACATGGTGAAACCCCGTCTCTACTAAAAATACAAAAAACTAGCCGGGCGAGGTGGCGGGCGCCTGTAGTCCCAGCTACTCGGGAGGCTGAGGCAGGAGAATGGCGTAAACCCGGGAGGCAGAGCTTACAGTGAGCTGAGATCCGGCCACTGCACTCCAGCCTGGGCGACAGAGCGAGACTCCGTCTCAAAAAAAAAAAAAAAAAAAAAAAAAAATTGAAAAAAATAGGCATAGTGGCTTACACGTGTAATCCCAGCATTTTGGGAGGCCAGCGTGAGAGGGTCATTTCAGCCCATGAGTTAAATACCAGCCTGAGCTACATGGTGAAACCCTGTCTCTACCAAAACAAACAAAAATTAGCCAGGCAGTAGTGCATGCCTGTAGTTCCAGCTGCTCAGGAGGATGATGTGGGAGCATCGCTTGAGCCTAGGAGTTTGAGGCTGCAGTGAGCTGTGACTGCACTACAGCACTCCAGCCTGGGCAACAGAAACAGACCCTGTCTCAAGAAAAATAAATAAATATATAAATAAATAAACAAGAAACAAAACAGAAGTGAAACTGCCTTTACCAAAGTCATAACAGAAAATTATTACAATGAAAGAGATCTGACCTCATTGACGCCATCTTGTGCCTAACCTCCACTGTCTTTGTTCATCCCTAGGTGTAGGCTGAACTGACTTTGGAGGAACTTAGTTTATAGTTTAATTTTGAAACAAAGGTGATAACAGCCTTTTTCCAAAACAAGCCCCCTTCCTGCCTGGGCATGAGACTGCTTTACAGGACTAACAAATTGGTCACAAAATTAGAAATTATGGTTTAGGAGTCACGCAGCTGGAGACTGCAAGATTCTGTCCATGCCCAAATTGCTCCTGAGGATAAAACATCACTATTGTAAAAACCTAAGACCAGTGCTTAAGATATTTTGCAT